ATTGTTTTTATCCTTCATCAGACCCAATGTTTTTTTTTTTTATTTGGGAGTGGTATGCCGTAAACATTATCTGGGGGATAGTCTGAAGTATCGAATTTATCTAGATCACGTTTGATATAATCATATATGTTCGGACCGGTAAGATGATAAAGAAGACTGTCAGTGTCAGTATACATTAATTTAGCTTGGTTACCAAACGTATTCTTTATGTAATTATAATGGAACTCATAAATATATATTTTGGGGAGATCGAGAATGGAAAATCCTACATATATTGGCTTATTAAATTTAATCTTAACACGACTTAACTTGATTATTACCATATCTTCGTCGAAGACAGTGCAGCTATGGAAATTTGGTTTCGCTATAAGAGCCTTTGCTCCATACCTTCCATCCCATTTCGTAATGAGTCTAAAATCTTTTTGTTTTATAACATTTTCCATTGTCTTGCCAAAAACTGCGTTTAAGACATTCTTTTCAAAATCATTATTCGACTTTTTTCTCATTTCAGTGTTCAAATCTATGTACTTTTTGAGCCATGGTGACTGCCTAAATTTTAGAACACGGTGAATTTTCATCAACTTCATACCCAATGTCAAACACTGTTTCAAATTTCGATAATGAATTATATATCTTTCTTTTGGGAGGAGTGTTGTCATCAATTTTGATTTGTTAGATCCTGGAGGAGTATACTGCTCTGGACATAGTGGTAAATCTTTATGGAGTTCTTGAAGTTCAATTGGATATTCTATATCAACTTCGAGTATACAACCCGTAAGAGAATCATCGGGAATATTGCAAATATGTAGTTTTTCAAAATTTTCCTCCCACTCGAAGGAGTAAAATGGCAAAAATTGGCTCATAGCTGCAACGTACAAGTTATTTACATCGTAGTACATAAGATATGATTCATCTTTTCTTGGATCGAACTCTGCGCCCATAAATCTGTTGTTCGCTTTGGCATATCTGTTTGGGCATTGAGCTACGCCACCTCGAATTCCTCTCTCAATGAATAGCAACATCTCTACGTCGGTTAACAGCTCAAATTCAACGGCAGTACACTTGAGCATAGCATCAAACGCAAGGCCGGGTGCGGTATAATAATGAAGAGGATCTAAATTGTACATAGAGGAGCAATTATGTCTGAAATTTTCAAAGATGTCAGCCAAAAGTAAAACATCCGTTTTCAAATACAAATCAGAATATTCGCCCAATGTTTTGATATGAAAGTTTGCCAAACTGTAGATGCATGTATAGTATATAATCTGAGTCTGAAATTTCTTCATTATTTAATTCCGAATAAAATTTTTCTTTAGGTGGTAATTGCTCATCATCGAGTTTTGTCCAACTGTCCACGTAATCGTAAGGAAAAACACCTTTTCTCGTTAATAAGTTAAACTCTTCTTCGTTGCTGCAATGCTTACGTATGATTAATTTTTCACTACTTTTCAAATACGAGGCTAGTTTATCAATACTGCTCGGCATAAACCTAAATGAATCGATAAATCTGAAATTTACGATTGTATCTTTAACGCTTTTCGTAAAGGATATATATCGTTCTTTGTTTACTGGCAATAAGTTCATTGAGCCTTCGAAGGATATTGCTAAGGCTTTAATCAAGAAATGCGAGTCATAACCAGATAAGTTATGAGACACAACAGGAATGGTATGCGAGTTCTTATAATTTAAATTACAACTCTGATGCGCAGCACCTCGATATTTACCCGTAAAATGGCAATGATCGCGATGCTTGATATCTTCAGGTGTGAACGGTTTTTCAAAAATGTGGCAAGTCTGTGTAGAATAAAATTCATTCTTCTGTTGAAAATTCAATGGTTCCATAGATACGTTGCGTTTAAGGTGAAATTCTACGAATTGAGCTAACTCTTTTAATTCGTTCACAAACCACTGTATACAATTATTTCCACGATTGGCTTTAAATTTGGAGATGGAGTCGTCAAAATTATACTGTAGATAGTACGTGATGCTGTCTGGAACATGCTTCTGATAGACCGTTGTGTTTGACGATTTAGAAACATCCGTTACTGACTCTAAAATACACTCAATGTCAGCGTATATAACAAACGATACAGCTTCTTTGTTTATAATTTTTGAATTTTAGAATTTTTACTTTTCATTTGATAATTCCACTCTACATTTATTTATAATTATACAGTCGAGTCTATGTTTTTGAAAAGAAGTTTCTGTTTTGAAGTGGCATAGGCATCTATCGCACAGTCTGGTACGATGCTCGCGCTTTGAAATTTGAGAACTCAATAAGCGAGACAGATTTCGGATCCAAGCAAAGTGGTAAACATTACAATCTGTGAAATCTATTTCATCTCCATTCGAATAAATTTCTGTTTCTAGCATAAGTAAGTGAGTCCTTTCTTTATCCGATTTTTGCTGACTTAGGTAAATTGGTACTATTTTATTACCACTATCGCTCTCTATTCCATAAACATTAATTGCCAAATCATTCATTTTTTCGAATTTTGGAATATCCTTTAAACCAATGGGAAAATTTAAACCTTCATACCTTAGCACTGAGCTGAAGTGAGGGTACGAACTGATAACGCTTACATTATTCTTAACTGGATGAAGAGCTGCCGTAACGGACCATAGAAAACAGTACGGATCATTGTTTCTAATGTTCACGACTGCTTTCTTCCTTTGTACATCCTTCGGTAGTTCGATGAAGGTAGACAGGCCACCGTGTATCGGTATGTATTTATTGATGTTTACCGCCAAGTTTATAATTTCAAGCAATGAACAACCTGATTCCTTCTCTTGAAAGTCTTCAATTTTTGTCAGTATTTTTTCTCGCACATTTGTATTGAACCAATAGCTGATATCAGTGGACGGTAGTATAACTTCGTTTTTGGTGTTGAAAAAATTTAGTTCTTCGACAATCTTTCCAGCTTTCATGGTCTCAAATTTGCAGGACAAGACGACGTTCACCTTCACATTTCCGTCCTTTCGAAGTGCGTTTTTCACTCTAGCAATGAACAGTTTTCTTGAATCTTCCAAGAAACGGCCCAAGTCCTTGTGTCGCAAGTTTGCAATCACTCCAGTTCTCATTCTTCCCTTAAAGGCAGATTCCGAATCATCCCAACGCACTCTGTCACTTCTCTCTTTCGCTGTTCCTCCACCTCTTTTTCGAAGTTTTTGTTTAAATTTTTCGTTCGGAGATTTGAGGATTCCGATCGTAAGAGTAACGTTTCTCAAAATTTTGTTCAAAAGTTTGATATTTTGAGTGTCAAATTTCGTCCATTTTTCAATTTCTGCAATCGATAAACCCTTCTTCAGAAGTTTATGCGCTCCTTCCATAATCTCGATCAACTTTTTACATTTTGCAGAATCCATCTCGTTAATAGCAATAATGCACTTGAAGGTCTTGAGATAAGGCACTTGATGATCGCTGCGCATCATCGAAGGGTCTTTTATACGAAGATTTCAAGGTTTTCCTGGAATTGTTTTGCATCGGTTCGAGCGATAAGACACCTACCCGAATTGCGCACTTTGAGCTCGAACTCTACATCAAAAAGTTTCCGAAGTGCACAAAGGGTCGCTTATCTTCTGCGAGTAATTCGATACTCTGAATAACAAGGTCAAAAAAATGTTCGGCTGCCGCCTGAAGTATGCATGGGGGGTCGGGGGAGTCATCGAAAGCTTCGGGGAGGGGGGCTGCCGTTCGAAACCTGTATGGAGGCTTCCTGGAATCGAATGGCTGACAAATTTCCTGAAATCGATGCTGCTGCTGCTGCTGCTGCATCCTCGATACGCAATTCTGCGAGATAACGTTCGAGGTCAAAACGGCCGAAGGCTGCCGTTTGAAATCTACACGGATCGGGGCTAA